GATGCCAAATGTACCAAAAAACATATCTGGATTTTGTCTCAAGATATGAGCAAAGCATATGACTCTGTAAACATACACCTTCTAACCAAAGCTCTACAATGTCTCAATATGCCTAACACATTAGTCAGCATAATAACCAATCTTTTACACAACCGAACCAATCAAATTATTACCAATCTTGGACTCACACCCTCATATGAGGTACAAAATGGTATAGACCAAGGTGAAACTATAACCCCCCTTCTTTGGCAAATCTACTATGACCCTTTAATAAGTTATATATATGTTGTAGGTGGATACAGAATATCTTTAGATTCGGAATCAACCTAAGTTGATTTTGAATCCATATAAGTGAACTTTGAATTCTAAAATAACTTAAGTGAGAATTGAATTTTTAAAAAAAGCGAACAAGCAAATTTATTATAAATATATTTTTTTGGAAAATTTTTTTTTTTAAAAAAATATATTTTTTAATGTTTTTTATAAGCAAAACGTATTTAAAAATAATACATTTTTTAAATAAAGCATATTATTTTACTCACTATTAATACATTTAACATTATGTGGATGACATCCACAGCCACATACTACATTAAGGCATTTGCATTTGCAAGAGTTATTCTTGCATTCACCTTTACAATTGTATTTTGTTCCAGTCATGGTGGACATTAATTGCATTCTTGCCACTTCGCATACACTAATAACATCATCTTGACAAACATTAAGTTCTTCATATTCAGTTAGTCCAAGTGGTATAAGTTCATTTGTGCAATAAGTAGTATTGATAATTCCATTTTTGCATTGCAAATGATATGTTTTGTTTGGTAGTTCACCAATTATTTTGCATGGCAAAGTATGCCAGTCAATACTGTTGCGATCTATTTTTGAAATACTAATACATACATAGTTGTTAATAGAGTATTCGAGAGTGTGTTTTTTTTTTTTTAACATTTGATTCCTCATTTGATTTTGATATTCAGCAAGTGATTTGTTGGCATATTCATGAGAAAGTTGATGATATGATCATGTGTTTTGAATATTTCATAATGGTGATCGTTTTTAAGGCTGATTCGACATTGAAGATTCAGATTGACTTGACATCAATAGTTCAGATTGATTCACCATTGAAGGTTCGGAGTAATTCAACATTGAAGTTTCAAAGTGCGACATTGAAGGTTCAGAGTGATTCAACGTTGAAGGTTTAGAGTGATTCAATGTTGAAGGTTCAGTTTGATTCGATGTTGAAGACTCAAGTTGATCTGATATTGAAGGTTTAGGTTGATCTGATGTTGAAGGTTTAGGTTGATCTAATGTTGAAGGTTCAAGTTGATTCATTATTAAAGGTTCAGGTTGATTCGACATTAAAGGTTCAAGTTGATTCGATGCTGAAGGTTCAGGTTCAAAATCATCGTCAGAATTATTAAAATCTTCGAAGAAATTATCAGGCAATGTTTTTTCATCAATAATATCTTGTTGATGCTAGTCTTCAAGTAATGAAAATGTTGGACTGGGTCCTGGCCAAATATGAAGTGTATGGTGATTTACCCGTTGCACAACCTGTTTGTATATTCATTGCATCTAAATATGTATGCACGTAGTACGTAATAAATTAATTTATTTTATTTATTTTTTATATAGAATATATTATTTGTACATACGTATAATTAACGGCAATCCCTCTGTCCAATCATTTGTATTATTGTCCTCTATCCATTTACCAATTTTAACTTGTAAAATTCCGTTCGCTCTCTCAATCATTCCCTGAGATTGTGGATGTCTAGGATGTCCGTTTATAATTCTTACTCCTGGCCAAAGTGCCATTAATTCATAAATAATTTCTGCGCTAAATTCTTTACCGTTATCCGATTGTAGAATTACAGGGGTTCCAAATACAGTGAAAATGTTATAAAAAAACACAGCTACTTCTGCAGCATGTTTACTCGTAAGACATTAGGCCCAAAAAAATCGGGTGAAGTGATCATGGATGTGACACACATATTTATATTCTCCTACAGGTTAAAATGTTAACCCAATTAAATCGATTTGAACACGGAAAAGAAATTTTGATGCCACAATAGGCTTTGCAGCTAAAGCATTAGGAAATGATCAACATGTAGCACATATTTTACATGCACCACAAAATTCTTTTATAAATGATTGAGGAATATAATCATATTGACTTCTGATCTAAATAAAATAAGAAACAAAATAAATAAAATAAAATAAAAAATAAAAAATAAAATTTATATCAATATATAAATTAATACTTACAATATTCCACATTTTGGACGCTCCAACATGCTTCAAAATGCCCATATGAATCTTGCACAATATGGTATAAAGATGATTAAAAGGGCATATAGTTTGTATTACATCTAATCCATTTTCATTTTTTGTGACTATAATGATTTGCGTATTTGGATTAGTTTCAGTTCCTAATACACGAAGCTGAAAAGCATTCTTAATCTAGTATCGGTCTTTTGGTGTTTCTAAGCTTGTATTATTGGGTTCATGAAGTACAGTGACAATAAGATCATAATCGGGTTGTAAAATAAAAGTTTTATGACATCTATTTGCAGACTTTCCTTCAAGATATTTATTAATCAAATTATTAAAACTTTGTTTTAAAATAAATAAAAATTCTTGTGTTGACATTTTTGGTAAAGAATATTTGCGAAATACGGATAATTAATAAAATACAATTGCTTTAAATATTCATAATTTGTTGCATAATATTTGTAATTATAATTCACAATTGCTTAGTTGCATAAAATTCCATTATCACTTAAATTTTTTTAAGATCCGAAATCAACTTAGGGCGATTCCGAATCTACAGATATTCCGTATCCACCTACAACATATACAAGAAATATACCGGCTACATTACAACAACTAAATGGCTTACTCAGATTAATCCTAGTAAATATTAATCTACTACTGCCTCTACATCTGTATTGGCATATATGGATGATACACTATGGCTTGCAAACTCAGTAGAAGAGCTTTAAGCAATAATTCAAGCAGCTGCATCCTTCTACACAATGGCCCACATAAAAGTTAATCCACACAAATCTTTTCTAAGTTCAAATACTAAATCTACTATTCATATTAACTTTATGAATCAAACTATTCAAGTATAACCACAAAATACCCCTTTTAAATTTTTAGAATGCTGGTTTACAGCTGCATTACAATATACAACTCAAACAAAATTA